AGAAATGAGTTATGCTTGCGAGTGTGAAATTAACAGTGAAATGAACACTCTCTCTCTCTCTCCAATCAGAGGGCTTATACAATTACATCAGTATTAGAGTGGATTTCGTATGAGTGGGACACCATTACCACACGGTTATCGCACAGTTACCGGACCTGGCCTGCACAATTTTGGTGAACCAATGGGGCACTAGAATTTGGTTACAGTACGATTATGGTCACAGTACAGTACCGTCCGTTTCCCACTCATACGAAATACGCTCTAAATTCACTATACAAAAGCACAATTTTGGCCTGCTAATGCTGGTAAACCTGTTTTATTGATATAGGATCTGACTTTTACTGAGCTTAACTGATATACGACACTACTGATGGAAGATTTCAAGTGTTTGATAATGCACAATACCTAAACAAAGCTTTCTCTGCCCCTAATATCTGCACGGTTGAAGATGGATGCTTGGCAAGATTGATAAGGGACCCTAAAATACACAATAATTTCAACGCTATATTCCAAATTTATATTTCTTGGTGATCATTATTACTGAATATTTTTGTATTGGACTCCCATGATTTTTTTTACTTCAGTTGGAATTTTGATAAGAATGAGAGGAAATCATCAAAAAACTTCATTTACCAGCGTGGGCTATAAGTCTAGCTCCAACAAGTTCTCCAACGAGTACAGTCAAGTTAGGAGCAATTGCCGTCATGCGGTTCTTGAGGTAATCATACAACTGCGCTCTGTATTCTGCAATCTCTAATATTTGGTCGCACAAGAAAATGATGTTTTCTTTGTCCTCATCAGAAATCTGACCAAAATAATCATAATAACAGTTAGAATCTAATACGAGAATAGGACTTTGAACCCACGCAAACTGACCTCTACTCCCATTGAWATCTCTGCTGCAGCTTTCAATTTTTCTTCAACTTCCTCAGGTAAAATCTCAGAAAAATCACATKCTGCTGAATTGGTCCTTGTACCTACATGTACAAGATAAACATTCAAATATTAGAACTTGACAATTCTTGATATAATCAATTATTATATATTCATTATACATTTACTGTTGTCATGTACCTATTTCAAAAAATGTTGTCAGAGAATTAAAGAGTCTCCATTATCAAAGCTTACTGAGGAAATGGAATAGCACATTTACCTATTTATGGCATTCAATATTATCATTTCAAATATGGATACTTCAGTGAATATCAGTTTAATATCCACRACACACAGCAACCTTCAAATGAATTATCATATATCTCACACAAC